GTCTTCCTCATCTCAAAAAAGCTGTAAGTAATGCAATGACTCACTATTTCTATTATTTTAAGGTTAATGTATAGAAAACAGATTTTAAAGATAAGACTCAGGTTATTTTAAATTAGTAATAACTTGATATACTTATCTATAATTCAAAATAGGTACAATTCAAATTAATAACAAATAAATAAGCATAAAATCCCTTGAATATAGGAGTTTAGTTTGTTGGTCTAACACGCCCCACAAGATTGGAGTTCCGTCAACAACAATAATCTTGTTTTGTAATTGTTGATAGTCGGCCTTAGAGAGAGGTTTGGTGAGGCAATCTGCAAGCTGGTCGTTTGCGCAAACATGATGAACTTTGAGTTTTTCTTGTTTACCAAGTCTCTGAAAAAAGGAATGTCAACTGAAATATGCTTCATACGACTGTTATGTATTGGGTTATGAGTAAGGTATGTGGCACTTAGGTTTTCACAAAAAAATTAGTAGTGCCTTGGAGGTGTTAACACCTAATTCGGCCAGTAGGGAGTGAATCCATGATAGTTCTGCTACAGAATTTGCTAGAGCCAACTTGTTCATGGAGAAAGCAATGTCAGGCCTGGTCATGGACAAATACTAGAGAGACTGCTGATTATACTTCTGTAGAAGATGACATCAATGCTTGGAGAACCATCATTTTGGCACAAGGGAGTGCTTGTTGACATTGGAGTGAGGACAACCTTGGCATTATCCATTTTGATTCTCTCTAGAAGATCAACAATATATTTGTGCTGACTAAGGAATAAACCTGTGGCAGTTTGTATCATCTACATACACAAGTGTGTATAAAACAAGGCCTCCAGTTCTGAGAATGAATAGAAAAGAGTTAGATTTCGAATTGACAAAGCCATAGTCACACAGAAAATAGGTACAACCTCATATACTTATCTATAATTCAAAATAGGTACAAATCAAATTAATAACAAACAAATAAGCATAAAATCCCTTGAACATAGGAGTTTAGTTTGTTGGTCTAATTCAAAAAAGGTACTATTAGTAAAAGTAAAAGTAAAATGCTGACTTGATTATTTTGCAGTGGATAGATTTGTGCAAGGCATACATTCAAGAAGCAAGATGTTTTCACAACAAAGTCATTCCACCATTCAAGGAGTACCTCGATACTGCATTGATATCGGCCTCAGGTGGGGTTCTTTTTATTCATTCTTACTTCTTAGTGTGCAAGGACCTAGACATCACGGAGGAAGGGCTTCAGGCTTTAACCGACTACCATGACATCTTGCGCTGTGCAATGAAGCTTTTAAGGCTTATCAATGATCTGGGAACAGCAATGGTAATCTCAATTAACTAACCCAAGCATATCAGACTTTGTGATCGTGCGTAATATTGTTTGTTTGTTGTTTTTTATAGGATGAGATGGGGAGGGGTGAAACCTCAAACTCAATCCTAAGTTACATGAATGAAACTGGTTGTTCGGAAGAAGAAGCTCGTCAGTATTGTAACTTTTTGATCGACAAAGAATGGAAGTACTTGAACAAATTCCTAGTTATGGACTCTCCGTTCCCCAAATCATTCATACAACTTATCATGAACCTCCTCCGAATTTCTCACTGCACTTACCAAAATGGAGATGGATTTGGTCAACAAGGCGTATTAAAGAACAGAATCAAGTCGGTGCTAGTAAACCCCGTTTCAGTCGATGTGGCATGATGATGTTGAGAAAGTGGAGCTATGAGTTTGAGTTGACTTATTCAAACATTGATTTTATTTGTTATGAACTAGCATTTTCATTTCTTGAGTTATCTTTCTTGTTAGATTGCTAAAACTTGGGTTGCATTTTAATGCAGCGTTGCTTATAATAAGGTTATCAGGAGCGTTTCAATGTAACTGTTTCTTGCATGTAATGGCTATATAGTAGCCAAGTTGTGTTTTATGATTAAAAAAATTGAAATAGTTCTTGCTTTTTGAGTTTGATTTGTCTTATACTAGTTTTTATACCGTGCAATGTACGGTACAATTTCTAAATCATAATTTAATTATTAATTATTAAAATTTTAAAAAATCAAAAATAACTTTTTTTGTGAGTATTTTATAGTGTAATATTTATTTGATTTTCTATATGATTTGTGAAGTTGCGAAAATTTATTATCAAGAACGATCGAAGAATTTTTTATTTATGTAATTGAGACCGATGAATAAGTCATAAAATTAATATAATTCACAACTTTTTCTATTTTACTTTATAAATTATTGCATTTTTTTCTTCTATATATATATCTATTGTGGTATTATTGACTATTCTTTTATTTTCTTAATTTCTTCCTTCTTTTTTTTACTGTTTCATGCATGTAAATGGCTATATAGTAGCCAAGTTGTGCTTTATGATTAAAAAAATAAATTAAAATATTTCTTGCTTTTTGAATTTGATTTGTCTTATATATAGATAATTCTTCTTTAATTTCCTTGGATGGGGATAACAATCAAACGTTTTTAATTTCTGAGTTGAAATATTATTTCTATCACTTAATTTTAAGATGTTATGTATTTGATTTTAAGATTAAAAATTAATGTATATAAAATAGATGTTGCATAGAGAAACTAACCCTAATAGAAAGAAATTGTTTATAAGGGGCAAATTGAGTCGCTCAATTAACTAAAAATAGGATTGGAGAAACTACCTCGTGAAGTGACAGTGTCATAGTGATTTGAAAATCATGACACACAATTTGATTGTCCAAAATTATTATAAATTACTCATAATTATTTTTAAAAAAATATAATTTATTTTATAAAACTTAATTTATTAATTAAAACATCTTTGTAATAATTTTAAGAAATTTAATGTGTTATACTTTTAATTTGAAAAATTGTAAAAATAATTTTAATTGTTAAATGTATATGTTCTTACCGGAAATCTGCTGTAGAGCTGATCTGCCGGGTAAGATTGGTGAGCCTCCTTTACTGGGTGTATTGGTGCTCCGAGATGGGGGAGGTACCTGCAAAAGAGACTCCGATGCTAAAGTTAGAGTTTGCATGAGTAATGGTCTCATATATATAATGCACGTACCTTGAGGTGATCTAGGTTTGAGATAAGATATATCATGATATGATATGATATAATTGAGGGGTGGATCTGGTCTGGGACGGGATCCTCGGAATCAGGTATGATTCGCTCAAATGTCGGGCTGACGTCATGCACCGCGTGCCCGGGGTTACTTATTTGCAACACTAATCCGGGCTAGGAGCCCGAGTGCGAAGTACGGTTAGTACACTAGCCCCCCGAGCTCTGAAGGTCATAGGTCGAGGAGTTAAGACCGGGTTTGCTAGAGGGGAAAATGGCTTTGCGCGTATGCTAACTGGAGGTCCGCCACGTGTCGCGACTGTTAGTGTTCTGGAGACGTTTGAGTGACGTAATAAGGGCAGTGACGGTTGTGTAATGATGATTTCGCAATAAATGTGTTGTCAGTTGTGCTTTTCAGCTGACACGTGTCGCGTCGGTTTTGAATTTTGGGGGAGAGTTTTTCCTTTTCTTCCACTCGCGCCTCTTTTCTGTCTTTCTTCTGACTTCTCGAGTACGAGAGTTTTTCTTGCTTCCCTTTACCTCCTTTCTCTTTTGCGCTTCCGTCGCCGTCGTCGTTTCCGGTAGTCCCTTCTTTGTTAGGGTTGTTTTCTGAGGAGGAGTACCAGGTACTTCCTTTTTATTTGCTTCTTCTCTTTTTTCATGGCCGGTGGAAGTGGTGCCGGATCCTCTGCGTCTGCCAGGGGCAAGGCGCGTGGCAAGGTGGTGGCCGCCGGAAGGGTCACTGTTGAGAAGAAAGATTCGCCGC